ATTCTGTAGTTGTTGTCTGTTCTTGTTGTTCTCAGTCACAGAACTTTCTTTAGGATGTTTTTCATAGCAGGGTTGGCTTTGGCAAAATCCCTTAGCTTCTGTTTATTCTGGAATTAAAAAAAAATTTTAATTGTGAATTATGTGGCAGTTTACATGGGAGAAAATCAGTTTCACATTCATCCTATCGTACATTGTTTCATTGCCATGATTATAATCCCCTCAACGCATCACCAATCAACGAAAGGGTACATACTATAAGCCTGCTCACTCCTCCCACCCCCCACCTCCCATCCCCGGTCGTCAACACACAGCCTCGCTCCCTCCCTGGGTCCCGAGTCCCCAGCTGCTCCATCTCTCAATGTCATCATCTCTGCCTATGTCTCGGAGATTGCTGCCTCTCTGGGTAGGGTTCTGCTCTTCGTTCTTCTCCCTTCATGGTTTCAGGGACCTCTGCTCTTACACTGCAAAGTTAATCACTCCCCTCCTTGCCACAAAATGTCTACTTTTGCATTTACAACCTTCACAATCAGTCCTGGTAGCAATTATTCACCCTTTTATCACAAGAGACCTATCCGCCTTTCCTTCAATTAGTCCCGCCTAGACAGATTAGATACTACTCAGTGGAGATTCTACTTTCCCCCACACCCTCTGATCTAGGTTCCCTCTTGAAAGCTTGTAAGCCTGTCACTTCTTGCCTTTGTGGCCCCACCATTTTGGATAGCCAATGTCCAAGTTGCCCATCCCTGTCAACTCTTCTGTATGGATGGGGTGGGAATGATCCTTGCTGTAAAGATTTGTTCCCTCTTTTGAGTTGCTGCATCCATAGGTGTAGGTCAAGTTCATCAAATTGTATCAGATTACTCTTTTTTCCTCTTCTTTCTTCTAGTTGATCATCCAGCCAATGAGGCTAGGTCAAATGGGTATTACCTGCAAGCGTGGGTTCTCTTATGGAACCTCTCTTCTTATCGACTGGACACTTCACTCTCCACTCCAGTCCTCCATGGCTATGTCACTGACTCTGGGCCCATGAGTCCCCACATTTTGCCACGCTACTGGCCAACCAGGTCTCCAACTGGGTTCACAGGAGTCAATTGAATGTTGTAGGGCTTAGCTCGTAGCCTCATAGCTGTTTTTCCCTCATTTCCCCTTGTCAATGGCAAACATGGTCACTCATCAGTGCGTGTATTCCCATTGAGTCTTAGTCTCAGGATGAAATCTCAGGATGGTTGAGTCCTATCAAGCTGAGGTTTTGGTTTTGCACGTTGCTTTGTATTGATTGAATGCAAGCTCAGCAGGTGTTACTTTGCTAGCAGAATAGCTGGAAATTCCAAGCTGCTACCTGGAAGGTGAGGTGCCCCACCCCTGGCTCAGGGCTCAGGTCCATAGCCTCATATTTGGGCCCACCAGTGATGTCATAAGTTGCCACCCAGCTCCCTCTCTCTGTACCATGGAAAAACAGTCCTCCTGATGTCTGGGCTGAGAGGTAATGCTGGGACAGGGTGACTGAGAGGGAGAAATGTGAAGTTTCCTGTGGTTTAATCTCTCCTTTTCCCTTTTGCTGGAGCTGCTGCTTTCTGAACAGGCCTGGCTTTAGCCTCGCCCTCTAAACTCTGCCGATTGGGGTTGTCTCGGAAACACTCTAGCCGCCAGATTCCTAAGTTGCCTGTTTTCCTTTGTAGTGATTTTTTCACACATGCAAGTTCGGGACACTGCCTTCCTGGAACTTATATTAGATCCAGAGCTCTGGAGTGACTCTTGTAGCTTTTCCTTTGTGAAATCTCCCTCCCCTCTCACCGGAGCTTACCCTACCTGGCTGCTCTGGTTGCCGCCCCAAACCGGATGTCTCTATCCTGGAATGTTTTGATTATACCATCGTATTTGATTGACAGCTTTGCTGGGTAGAGGATTCTTGGGTGGCAGTTTTTTACTTTCAGGGTTTTATATATGTCTCCCAATTGCCTTCTTGCTTGCATGGTGTCTGTTGAGAAATCCGAGCTTAATCTGATTTGCTTGCCTTTGTATGTTACACATCTCTTTTCCCTAGCTGCTTTCAAGATCCTGTCCTTATCTTTGATTTTGGAGAGCTTGATTATTATATGTCTTGGTGATTGTCTTTTAGAGTCTATACATCCTGGGGTTCATTGAGCTT